AAATGGCTGTTTACTTATTTAGGATTTAGGAATATGTATAAACAGGGTGGCCCGCCACTCACTGACAACTTAAATAACTTTTGATCCAGTTAATATTTTTAGCTGATTTTTTTTTTAAACATTAGTTAGACGTTAGGTCTATAGCTATATCTTAATAATTAATTTTTTTACATTTTATTAAAAATATTAATTATTTTTAAATTTTAAATAAAATGTAAAAAAAAAATCTAAGATAGCTATTTTGTAGAGTAGAATTTAAGAAAAATTTTAGTAAAAAAATATCTTAAAAATATTCAATAGTAAATATTCTGTAGCGTTTTGAAGTTTGTGAAAATTTGAATTTTCATGTACTATTTTACGGTATTAAACATTGAAATACGTATTGAGAAAAGGACAGAAGAAAACGCTATCTTTTCATTATTACTGTGTATACATATGATGATAATGTGTATACATTACAAACTTGGCATAAATACCATGATAAGAAATTAGATAAGGCAATTATTACTTATCACTCTCATTCAAAAGTATATTGAAAAGATAGCGTTTTCTTCTGTCCTTTTCTCAATACGTATTTCAATGTTTAATACCGTAAAATAGTACATGAAAATTCAAATTTTCACAAACTTCAAAACGCTACAGAATATTTACTACTGAATATTAATAAGATATTTTTTTACTAAAATTTTTCTTAAATTCTACTCTACAAAATAGCTATCTTAGATTTTTTTTTTACATTTTATTTAAAATTTAAAAATAATTAATATTTTTAATAAAATGTAAAAAAATTAATTATTGAGATATAGCTATAGACCTAACGTCTAACTAATGTTTAAAAAAAAAATCAGCTAAAAATATTAACTGGATCAAAAGTTATTTAAATTGTCAGTGAGTGGTGGGCCACTCTGTATATATTTAATATTATATATGTAATTAGTATTAGAAAACAAATATTACCTCGACCTTATATTGAACTTTTCTTCAGAACCTCTTTGAATTTTTAAACATTTCTTTTAGAAATATGAGGTTTTGAACAAATAAAGCAATCTTGAAAATCTTTATGTAAATATAAATATTATCAAAAAACGTTTAGTAATATTTTTAACAAATTGGATAGAAAAGTCATTCACAAAATGTATAAAATATGTCCTTAATTATTGTGTATGCAGTGCTATCTTATTATTCAAAGAACAAATTTATATCTATAGTTATTATTGCGGGAAAAATATTTTTTAATAATTATTATGTTATTAAGTATATCTAAAAGTCTGTACTTTGAAAATTTAAATATATTTTTTTTAAGTATGGTAATTTTAATAATGTATGCATGAAAATTTATGTATTAGGTGTTTTATTCTTATTGGGCCGACCCCCAATAGATGGTTTAAAGGCGAGAAAAATAAAGAAGAAATATTTTTCCTGTCTTTATTATTATATAATTCTGTATTAAACAAACTAAATATTATTTGTTTTAAATACTTCTAATTGCTGAGCTTTATTAATATTATATATTAAAAGCTTAAAAATAAACAGGTGTTTAAAATTGTATACTTAGGAGATAGTTATTATTGAGGTGGACATAATGCCCATGCACTCAGACCTGTTGGTCCATTGTGTGCAATACTTAGGAGATAACTCAAGAAATTTCAGAAATATTCCTGTCATTATGCAATCTAGCCGATTAGGTATTTATAGATAACTTTTAAGTTAGAGAAGTAGATGGCGCTGTAAAAATCATATACATTTTAATGTAAATTATTTAAACATAAAACATGCAATAGAAGTCTTATAAATATTAATTAATCGGAAAAGAATATTGTGTTACATTACTTCTACATCATCTTATGCAAAATATTAGTACTCAATATGTTTTAAAAACGTATTCATAATTTTTTTTTAATTCATTTTGTTACTACTTGTTTTTTCATGTCATTTTCAAATCCTTATTCAAGTGTTAAAAAAATTAATGAAAAATAAATCGTATACTGTCGTCGGTGAATAATGTAAAAAGATAATATTTATTTCCTTCCTTTACATAATATGGACTAATATTTGATACCTTAGAAAAATTGTTAAAAAAGTAAAAACTTAACAAACTTCAAAATTCTGTATAAACGTAACTATTTAGCTAAAATAAAAGTTTTTGATAACAATATTTTCCTTTTAAACTTATCTCTATGAAGGGTTGTCTTCAAATCTTAAAAAATATTTTTTGTAATTGCAAACAATAACGTAAGACATATTTATTATATATAAATATAATAATATATTATAATATAATGTAAAAATTTATTTAAAAAAATACGAGGTGTTAAGTAGATCTTAAACTATATAAATTTTCAGTTTGATCTGTTCCAGTTTATATTTTAAAAATGTCTACTTAGGTGTAACCATACCAATTTTAATTCAATTTATTGAAAATCATTAATTTTTTGATATTTTAGTTTAATTATACTTAAAATTAGGAGGGGGATTACAGTATAGTATTCATATGCCGAGGTTGTAATTAATTGATATTAGACAACCAAATTAAGCCACTGGTTACTTCAATTGGACCATTTTAAATAATTATTTTATAAAAAAAAACAGCATTTTAATTAAAAAAAATTAAACCAAATAATTTTGATTTTTTAACAAGTGTAGTTATCACTTAAGTGCTGTTTTAAGATTATAACTTGGAAGACTCTCATAAGAAAGCCCTACAAGTCATTAGTAGTCTGAATAAGGCGATTCTCCGAAATGTAATTTATATAATGTAATAAACAAAAAGAAAGATAAAAAGATAATCGTGGTAAAGATGAAGTGGATCTTGGGGTCGAACTATATTTATTTATTAAATAAAAAAATATCCCTACCTCACTTATTCCTATTCTTGTTTATTACGTGATATTTTTTGAAGTAAGGCATGCAAATAAATATTCGCACTTACCTTTATTTCATTTTGTAATTGACCGAGTTGGTTTTATGGTGATTTCTTCCTATAGTGTCAACAGTCGTTTATACTGTCTTGCGTTTATTTCGATTAATTAGTCTCTCTGTGTATATTAGATTTAGAAAAAGGGTTCTCTACAATGGGACCTGCGTCTATTATAATTTGTTACCTTTTTTTATCTTCTTTAAATTCCTTTTATACTATACTATGTTTTTACTAATAATATTTTCTATGAATTCCCTATAGTCGATATCGATATTCTTAAAATTTACTCTGAACTTGTCAAAATATAATTATAAGAATATGTCTATCTATATTCAAAATATAATTAACAAGACTGTGGTGGTCCAGCGTTTCTCAGCGTAAAGCCTTGACTGGCGCAGACACAGTTAACCTCATTAATATATTTTAAATATTATTTCAATACACCTTTTACTATCCTTTACGTCAACTGCCTACACTTTACCGAGAGGTAATTTGGCATAGTCCTTTATGGCTGGCGGGTACACACGCAGAGTATATTTCCAAGATGTAGTCTCCTATCTTACGAATTATATATTTTATGATGAACTCTACCCGGACTATTAGCTCTAGAACTGGCTTGTCAACGGATATAGCACACTTCAAAAATACTCTTCTTATAAGTTTAGTACTACTCTGTACCTCAACTGCCTACACTTTACCGAGAAGTAATTTGGCATAGTCCCTTAGGGCTGGCAGGTACACAGGCATAAAGTAAAACTACTAAAACTAATTAATTTTAATCACAAATTATGTGTCTTCACTCTTTTCGGCACATTTAAAGCTGTCCAGAAATGAAGGGCACAATAATATTTAAAACCTTTATATAAAAAATAGAGATTATATTTATTTGTCGTGAGAACATTAGGTGATAATAAAAATAAATAAAAACTTATTTCTGGGTAAATTAATAATAAATCATCCAAGACAATGTTCACCATTTAAGATGATATATATATATATATATATGAAAACTAAGTCACAAGGACAAAATATTTACTTATACTGACGCAGATTCCATGTAAGAGAATATTGAGAGAACGAGAGCAGAGCCACGAGAGAGGAGAGAGCAGTCGTCGTCCCTTTTTACCAGAAAAAATGGCTTTTTATACGCCGGATGAAGTAAGTCAGCGATCTCTATTGAAATTCCTAAGATGTTGGATAATTATTTGTGGTTGGTTAATTGTGATAGAAACCCAGCCGTGGGCGTAGTAATGAATTGTAGGGGACTGGTTTGAAACATGTGTTGATAAATAGTTATTGTCTTTACCCTAAAAGGGAAACATTCCTTAGATGATTTTTTGCTTTTTTCATATATATGTGATATTTAGTACATGTGTTAAAAATTATACTACAATAATGATATACCCTATGACCACAAAATTAGTGAATTATTAAAAATATTTTAGTGTCTGTGTTTATATAGAATTATTCAAATTTATTAGGACGCCTATTTTCTTAAGAACTATTGAGAATTTTAAATGTTTATAAATAGAAAAAATGTTAGGTTGAAAAAACTTTACAGTAATATATTTAAAAATTTATTGCATTGTAAATACGTAAAGAAAAAAATTTATTTCATACATAATTTCTAAAAAAAAATTTTTTTAATAATATTAATATTAAAAAGAAAATAAAGTTATGTCAATCAATTACGTTGATGAGAGCATCTCTTTCATAACGTAATAACTTCTATTCCCTGCACACATTCTAAGTTTAATTTCGTTGTGCATATTTTATAAATTTAATATTCATAAAAATATACTAATACAAATTATTTATTTAAATTATAAAACCTGGCATACTATTCATAATTAAATTGATAATGAATAGTAGTAGGAATATATAGGAATTATATTTTATTAACTAATATAGTACAAAGAGTATTATTATTATATTTATATGTTATATTTTAAAGATTTTAAAAACGAGTAAATGGTAAATGAATATAAAGTGATTTATTAAATAAAGGAACAAATATTTATTTAGTATTTACTTAAATATAACAAAAACTGATAAACTCTTGATTTTAAATTGTTAACTAGTTTCAAATTATAGACTTGTATTTTATTTGTATTCATTTCAATCTTTTTTTATCAGTGAAATGTCAAACTTAAAAGTACATTTTACATTAAAAAAATGTTCTGTAAGTAGTAAAAATTAACAAAATGATTATTTTTCAATTTATAAAAATTAAAATTAAAATTTATTTTACAGCATGTTTATTATTTTACAATCTTCTTAATGACATTTTTTTTAAACTTCAGTTACGGTAATAATTTTTTGCCTAAGATTATTTAAACTTAAATTTTACTAACAATAAATACATTTTTTTAATAGTATCCGGATCACGAGGATTAAATAAACTTATGAAAAAAGGTAATGTAATAGTACAGGAAGAGGGGGAGTGTCAACGAGTTATCTTGTTTTTTATAAATAAATATCAGCTATCCAAATAGAATTATTATTTTTTTTATCAAAACTTAAAAAATAACATATGGTACTTATTCGTTGAGTTTAAGATTTAAAATAAATTTGTAGAAGAATACTATAAAAAAAAAAACACACTACAGTGGGGTCGCAGCACAGTGGGAACGTGGCAGTTGGGTCAAGTATATGATTAACATCATTATCATAAAAAAGGCAAATTTATAGATAGTGTTTAATTTTAAAAAATTGATAGATTATTCCAAAAACTACATGATCTTCTATGTCCTTATTTATATACTGATTAAATGTTTTATAATTTGTAATATATGAATATATATATATATATATATATATTCTTTATAAAACTTTCCACCTCTCCAATCATGTCCTCGCCTATTGTCACTAGTCTACTTATTTCACCTACCTCGTGTTCTCCTTTATCAAACTCATACTCTATTTACTCTACCTTACTCCTACTTATTCTTAAACCCCTTTTTTTGAGAGCTGATCTCCACACTTCTAGCCTTTGATTAATTTCCTCCCTATTTTCATCTATTAACACTATATCGTCAGCAAACAGCATGCACCACGGCACCTCTCCTTGTATTTCTCTAGTAATTTCATCCATCACTATAGATAATAAGTAATGGCTTAAAGCAGAACCTTGGTGCACTCCTACTTTTACCCGAAAATCGTCTGATACTCCTCCTAAGCTTTTTACCGTGATACAAGTTCCATTTTACATTTCTTTTATTATATTAATGTATCTTTTCAGGACTCCTTTTCTCATTAATTCTCACTTAAAAACCTCTCTCGGCACTCTATCATACGCTTTCTCCAAATCTATAAATACCATACACAGCTTTTTCTTCTTTTCCTTAAACTTTTCTATTAGTTGCCTCACACAAAATACTGGCTCCATTGTTAACTCCCAGGCATAAATCCAAACTGGTTTTTAGATACCGATGTCTCATTACTTATTCTCTAATCTATTATCTTTTCCCAAATTTCCATACTATGACTCATACGCTTTATGCCACTATAATTTCTACACCCTTGTATGTCACCTTAACTTTTAAATATCGGCACCATAATACTATTCCTTCATTCCTTTGAACTTTTCCATCTAATAAGATTTTATTTAAAAGTTCCTTCAACCTGCCTACACCGCCTAATATTTTCCATACTTTTACTGGCAGTTTATCTGGTCTCACTGCTTTATTCTTTTTCATTGATGCCACAGCCTCCCATATCTCTTTCTCTCTAATTAAATCTACCAGTCGCTCATTCTACGAGATATCCTCTAATGTCTCTTTTGGGTACTCCTCATTCAGTAATTTTTCAAAGTACTCTTTCCACTTTTTTGTCACATCATCATGACTTAAGAGTACCTTATTATCAACACTTTTTACACCTTATATAATGATAATCTTTAGATCTTATCTCTCTTACATTTGTAAGTCTATACATTTCTTTCTCGTTTTCCTTTGTTCCTAGCCTATCATACAATTCATCATACCTCTTAAAATTCGCCTTCTTTACTACACACTTGGCTTCTATGTACATGCGTTTATATAGGCTCTCCAATATTCTTTCCTTTTGCTTTTCTGTCATACTTTGGATTGCTTTTTCTTACATTTTATGATTTTTTGAACGTCTTCATCTTACCACCAGATTTCCTTGTTTCCTGGCATTTTACTTCTACTCTTACCAACAATCTCCTTTGCAGTGTTCTTTACACAACTAACAAATATATTCCACACATAATTTCTGTCTCCGTTTTCCTCTCAATACACATAAATCTTTCGCCTTTTACTAAAGATTTCCGTGGTGGAGAGCATTCATAAGAGTCTAGAAATTTAATTTTTCAATATACATTTATTTATAATTTATAAATATATAATGATAAATGGTTCTACTTAGAAAAAAGGTGTGTTGTATGAACGAACTATATAAATATAATTTTTCATAAAAAATATGTATTGATCCATACATTTTCCAATCAATTATCGCATTTTAAAGTCAAAAATGTAAAATATAAAATCAAGAATTTTAACACAAAAATAAAATTTAAATATTTAAAAAAATATCGTAGTAAAATTAATACCTTCTCATCTTCGCATCGAAGATATAAAACTAAATATCAAACATGTTTCTAAGCATATTTATTCTATCATATTTTTCTGTATTTATAATTTAAATAACCAAATACTCAGTTAAGGGGGGTCACGGCACAGTGGTGACTTGGCATAGTTGGGTAAAGTATAATGATATCTGAATAGTGTGCAATTTTAAAAAATTGGTTGATTATTCTAAAAGCTACATTATCTGCTATTTCCTAATTTATATCCTGATTAAGATAAAGTATGTCGAATGAAAAACGAATATAAATATTATTTCTTATAAAAAAATTGTATTGATCCATACACTTTTCAATAAGTTAAAGCATTATAAAGTAAAAAATGTAAAAAATAAAGTAGAGAAATTTTACACAAAAATTGAATTTGGTAACTATTTTCACCGTGAAGACAAAACAAAGACCAACAATTTTTTTTTCGTGATAAATCATATTGCAATAGTTTTAATTTAAGATATATATAAAAGTGTTAGACATTCCGGAATATTTTCAAATATCAAGTTGAAAAAGTATTTTTTTTGTGAAAAATTTGTCATTTTGAATCCCTCTATATAGTCAGGTAAAAGGTTCGATTTATAAAAAAAATTTATCAAATGATAGGTAAAGACCTCAAGTATCAATAAAAAAATATTATATTGATTTGTTCATTTTTAAAAAAGTTATGGTAATTTTAAGTAAAAAAAATTGAAAAAATTAGCGATTTTTAAATTTGTAATTTTTTTGGAGATTTCCCTCATTTACGAGGAACGAGGGAAATTTTTTTAATTTTTGAGGGTAATGTCTTCGACTAGATATGATTTGTGATCTATTGACGTATCGTTAAAATAAATCGGTCCAGTGAGAGCTGAGAAAAAGTGGTAACAGACACAAAAGAAAAACAAAACACATAGTAAAATTAATACCTTTTCAGTTTCGCATCAAAGCTAAAAAGTAGAAGGATTTGGCAAATATAAAAAATTAGGTTAAAATAATTGTTAATCATATAAATAATAATATTTCAAGTAAATTTAAAAGGGTTAAATTATAATCAGTACTTTTGAGGTGATTATTTTTAAAAGATATGTTGACAATACATTTTAAAAACAGATATAAATACAAAATCAAAAAATATTTATAATGGGGAAGAATAGAGCAAGATAATCTAGGGATTAAAAAAATAAAATGATAAATATAGTGATGTTGTGAACATTTCATGGAAATATTTTTGTATACTAACCAAACAATGACAAATTTTTCGAAAATAATTTAACGTATTATATTATATTAATATATTTAACATATATTTGTTTTAAATCACACTTGTAACTTTTTTTGCTAGAACGATATAATATAGTTTTACAGCGTATAGTTTTAACTTAAGTGTGATAAAATAAATATTTCTTTTATTTTGATAAAATAAATAAACGTTTTTTTATTAATGCAATGGATAAAAAAATCGCGAATAAACAGTGTTTAGGATATTAAGTCATATTCAATTTAGAGGACTATTTTTGAATATTTTATACTTCAGTTTTTTTTTAATTATTCAGACAAACAATTAATAATTTTATAATACAACCAAAATTTCTTAAGAGAACTGAAGGTAACCTTCTTTTAATTGGGGCTACATTATATTTTTTAGCAGAACTTAGATTAATATATGGTATATTAACTTGCCCCAAGCATGAGGCTAGATAAAGAAATGGACTTTTAATTAATTTACTTGCAGAATGAAAGTAATTTAAATATATATATATAAATTATTTTGTGACATTAGGTTACATATTATTTTTGAATTATTAGCTATGTAATAGTTTTTAAGTTCATCACTTATACCTTAAAGGGTGTCAACATTGTTTTTTTTAAATACGAACACATATTTTGAATTTAATAAAAAAATTTAGAGTTTTTAATTTAATAGTAATTGGAATTTTTAATTGAACTTTATTCGTTTATTAGATATATAATTTTAAAATTTCAAATGTTGAGTTAATATACATGTAATACACAAGGGATTACAAATACAGGTTGCTAATTGGTTTTTTACGACGTCGATATTCACAGATATGCAGAATTTATCATCAATGGTAGTAAAGCACATTGTTGTGAGTTTATAAGTATACCAACTAAAAATATAGGAAATATATCTATTGATTGTCATAATTAACAACAAACATTCCGTGATTGTGATGGCGACGTCATAAAACACAAATTAGCTACCTGTAATTTTAATCCCTCGTGTATTATATATAAACAAAAACATAAAAAAAACAGTGGAGTATAGTTAAGACAAATAAAGATGATAGTATAGTTATTAACATCACTAACACTAAAAACACTTCAATAAAAATCTGTAAATTTTACAATGATTTGTATACTTGTAATTTCTTGTATACTTGTTTTAAAATGTCACTGAAGTGCCTGATAAATGATTTGTTTTTTTGAAAAAAATGCAATTTTTTACTTTAACAGCTGATTAATTTTTATATACAACGGTTCCTTCAAATCTATTTTATAAAAAGGTTTGAAAGGAGATTTTTATACAAATAATGCCACAAAAAGCTTATTGTTTCTTGTTTACTATGTTAAATTTAAAGATTCTATAATCATGTTAGGATTTATTATTCATGCTATGTAAAATTGTACTGTTAAGATACTATTTTAATAAAACGTAGAATAAAGAACTTATTGTTAATGTATTTTTTCTTAGATAAAAAGTTTATTAGTTGTTTTTTTGGATCATCGGTGAAAGGTAAAGTAACAGATATTTGAAAAAAATATTATGAGATTAATTATACTTCGACTATATGAATTCTGCTTTGGTAAAAAATATATTTTTTGAATTTCAAAATTTTTAATATTTGAGTTATAACATACCTTTTTAGACTATCCATTATTCAATTAATTGTTTAATGAATATATGTTCATAAGAGTGGTCCCTATATATACTTCGTTATTTTTTTAAAATAAATTTGTTCGAAATTTTGTGCTATACAAAAAATATTGGTGAACATTGAGTGACTATCTTTTCACATAACTCAAAGGAATTGAAAATTGACATAAAAATGTAAGAATTTTGTATTTTTTAATTATTTAATAGAATTTTTTGATCTTTAACATTTATCTCTATAAATATTACAAATACAAAAATATTGCATGTAAGAAATTATTTTCAAAAAATTATCTATAAAAAAAGGTCATAACGTAATTTTTCGTTGTACTACAAATTTATCGGTGTAAAAATTGAAAAAATATGAATATTTCAATGTATTTGGTTCAAAACTATATTTATCTTAATTCAAGCAAGCATTTTCCATTTATATATATATTTGTTTTGTCAATGATAAAATTATATCTTGGTTATTTGACATAAAGTACTTTTAATTAATAGCAGTATTTATAGCAAATTTTTTTTATTAAATATATAGCCTTTAAAAATTGTAACTATAAGCTTTGCGTATATTTTAATCAATGGTTAGCCTAACTTATATATAGAGTGTATCTAAAAACGTGTAGTAGTTTTTATAAAATTTAATTTAGTTAAAAAATGAATTAAATGTCGTGAATTATTATCAACTTATATCTCATAAGTAATATGTGTAAGGAAATTACTGTAAGTAAATTACCTTCGAACAGACATCTAATCATAAAACGTCTAAGCGTTTTATTTTGTAATATGCGCCTCTTAAAATTAAGTTTGTATGATAGTTTGCAAGTGGGCTTTTTGTTGGCCTGCAACAACAACCTGGTTACCACTTACATGACTAGTTATAGTAGCAAAGGTCACCATCACCTAGGCTAGGTGTCACAACTATCAGATGTGATAACGGACTATACGTAGAGTTTAATTTTAAGTTAATTAATAGTTTCATTTAAGTTAATATGTCATAAATGATTATAACATCTCGTGGTTTATTAACCAAAACTATGATAAATGAAGTTGTAAGTAATTTATATGTAAAACTTATCGTAGCCCATATCTAGATTAAAGAACAAGGATAAAATACTCGTGGTACTTAAATTACTCATACAATAAAATAAATAGTACAGTTAAAATTAAAAAGGAAATTTAATTTAATTTTTAAAGAAAGAAAATTAAGTTAAACAAAATTATGAATGTATCAAAAACCATGTCTACAAAAAAAGGCAACAAAAATAAAATCAAATATTTAAACGAACGTCATGAACAGTATTGGAATACATCCGTTAATATTAATCAGATATTAATTAATTATATATATAGATATTAAAAAAATCCTGGTAAGTTAAAATACATCAAAATATAAATATGTAATTTAAAAATTAAAATTAAAATTATTCATATTAAAAGTTATATATTTTTAAAATGTTCTAATACACTATTCTTAAATGTTTAAATACATTTTTTTATATATAGGTCCATTTCGTAACATTGATTTTGTTTGGACTGAAATACCATTAATAAATACTGAAATACTACTATTCTAATGATAAAAATTATGTAAATGATAGCTCAAATAAACTACTTCCAAAAAAAAAAAAGAAAAAGAGACATTAAAGACTTAATGACAAATTGATTAGCATCAGCCTTAGATGAGTGTAAGAACAGTGACAAAGATGCAATACATTTGTAATAATTACAGCCTTTGCTGAATAGTTTATTATTGATTTAAATGACTATTTGATTAATAATAGTTCGATAAAAAAGAGCCACGAATATTTTCGAATTCAATTAGCCACTGATATTAGAAAAACGTGTACTTTTTAAATTTTCCTTATGTAGTACTTCATTGAGATTTAAAAATATTTCCTATTTTAACTGGTATAAAAATGTTAAAAGGTTCCAATCATTTTTTACAGCTCCGAATACTGAATAACTTTTTGGAATACCTGAACTTATATCAGAAAAAATTAGTGAGATTACATCTGCTGTTTATGACACTCTAAATGATTGGGAGCTTTTGGAAAAAGTTCAAGCATTTGATACAACGGCATGTAATAGTGGTCGTTTAAATAGTTTTACTGTATTCTTGGAACAAAAGTTATATAAATAAATTTTATTTTTTGCATGTATACAAACATTATATGTTTGAGATAATTTTACAAGCTAAATTTTCGTATAAAATTTTAAATAAAAATCTACCAAGAGATGAGATACTACAGAGAGTTTTAGAAGTTGGTAATTATATTTTTAGGGGAAATACCACTTAAAGGCATTAATTTTTGAAAACCAGGCGCGTATCATTTGGCTATTTATGTTTAAAGCAATTGATTGCCTCAAAGTCTTAATGTCCCAAAAACAATATCATCTCATTCCATTTAAATTTAAATCATTAAAAATAATATATTGTTTTGCTGTACAATGCTGTATAAAATATTGGTTTATGACACTAAATGCTATTGATCCATAAAGTGACATTTAATTTTTAAAAGTACTTGATGAATATAGATCTGAGGATGTACAAGTAGCTGAATTCACTATAGATTTTTAAACCATTTATGGTACCTTGGAGAGGAAACATGTTATCTATTGTTTAAATTCATTTAAATATAAAGAAACGAATGGGGAACCAAATCGTGCACTTCATAAATGACGAAAAAGATGTAGAATTTGAAGGAGATCTTAAAAAAATTAATTTTAAAAACCATAGACTTTACAGATTTTATAAATAAAGATCTCACTTTTAATTTAATATCGCCGAATTCAAAATAATTTTTCCAAAGTTTTCAAATCAATTCTACATTTATAAATGGAAAACCAGAATGTTGGAAACAAATAAACATTTATGTTCATAACAAAACAATAAATTCTCAATAGAAAAAATATTTGTAAAGGCTTGGCAGTAGTTTACGATGCAGCACAATGAGGAGTAAATCTAATGAAGGAATTTAATATGAATTAAGTAAAATTAAAACTATATTAAAAATATTATTAATTAAAAAAAAAAAAAAAAAAAAAACTAAAAAATATTAAAAATATTAAACTTAATATGAAATTTACTAAATATGAAAATCAAAAACAATACACATTGCACGTAATTATATATAATTCAATTATTATTATACTCTCTATTATTGTTCATTAAATAATCATTTATTTATTATATAGGTCATTCGGGAGTACAGAAAAGAATATCAAGGATTCTCTAAAGCCAATTTAGTAAAAAAAAAAAATTCACTGCAATATATTTTAGTTTAATATAAAACTTTAATTAAATACATTGAAATATTTTTTTTCTATTTAACACCGAAATTGTAGTACTACGAAAAATTACGTCATGACCTTTATTTTTTTTATAGATATTTTTTTGAAAACAATTTCTTAGATGCAATATTTTTCTATTTGTAATATTTAGTGTAAGGTTAGAGATAACTTAAAAATCAAAAAATTCTATTAATTAATTAAAAAAACTAAAAAAAACAAATTTTCCTTTATTCTGGTGCGTGAATATTTAAAAAAGAGAATAGAGTATTATAGAGAACGGCTTGTGTTCAATGTTATATATTAAATAGACTACTCTTAAAAAACGATTTTGCAATGACTCAATCATACAGTGGTTTTACAACATTATTTTTAATTTGAATTAAATTAAATATGGATCGATTATATAAATTATTGTGTTTTGAGTTGCATAAATCTTTACAGAGTTGACTTATGAATCCTAGCATCAATGATACTTTATTTTTGATTTTAATAAAATGTCCATAAAATAATAAGGATGATTTAGAAAATACCCCTAGGTCACTAGCTTATAAAATTAAAAATGATCCAATTAAGAAAAAAACTAGCCGAGAACAACTTTTCACTCATTAATTAGGGAGTTACTACCATTTTAAACATAGACTTAAGGTTAAGCGCGGGTATATTGGAAAATAACCACAAAATAAAAGTTCATATAAAAAAATTTAATATTTTTTCCTAGTATGAATAATTTTTTCAAAGAAGGATAATATTGATCAACATACATCATTCAGGCCTTCCTCCGAAAAATATTCCTAATTTAGCTATTATTTTTCATTATTATTAATTTTTATGCTTTCAAGTGATATTTACGAATAATATTTTGTTTGACATATTAATAGATGATGAAGAATGTTCAAAAAAAAATGGTAAAAAATTATCTTTATTAAATTGAAAAATACGATTTAATTAAAAATTATAATTTTAGTTCAAAATAATTATTTTATTTTTGTTATTTCAATTTTTAAAACAAATTTTCAATATCTAACCAATTTCTTTCTAAGACAGCAGGTAAAGACACTAGTTATTATGAATTCATTAATTATCCTTAATAAATCACTACGTAAATGTATTTTCAAAAAAATTTTTTGGGGAGGGGTTTAAAATTGTAACTGTATCTCAGATAGAAAGTGTAAAAATTGTTCTTTTTTATCCTTCTCTTTGAAATTAATAATGATTCTTCAATTTTATGTAGTTTATAGGGTAATTTATCTAGTTATTGAACAATATAGGATTTATAGAATTTTAAAACTATATGATAAATCCATTATGACATATTAACTTCTAATATTTTTAATATTAAATCTACTTAAAAATTGTAATACTTTAGCGATATAAAATAATAAACAAACTTATTCGATTAATTTTTTTTTAAAAATCAAGAAAGCCAAGTAACTGAAATAAAATTTTGTTTGTTCATATCATATTTTGATGTTAATATTAGTTTTTTTAATTTTGCCATTTAAATCGTGCAATTTGTTTAAATATTAAGTTATACCAATGGTGTTCACTTATTGGTAAGTGTTGGGTAACACAACCAATTATTTTAGGACAAAATTAAAATAATTAAAATTGAGTTTTAATTAAATTTCTCTAAAAAATTGAATGCGATACTAGGACGGCAGATGTGATTGTAGACAATGTAGGAGATCGTGCACGTAGAAGTTTTAATTACTGTCAGATATCATCTATACGTATCCCAACTATGCCATGTCCCCACTGTACCGCAACATCACTGTGCTACCGTTACTTTTGTACTGTAATTCATAGTTCCGTGGGAAGGGTGTAACCTTGGGACTTTCCCAAAATATNTGGGAAGGGTGTAACCTTGAGACTTTCCCAAAATACATCTTTAACATTAATAAAGAAAAAACTTAAGCAAATTTTAAATGTATAATACTATACTTTTAATCTTATATCACTCAATGTAAAACAATTTTTTTCAGGTGAAAAAATATCACCAGGTTAAAACATTTATTAAACTAATCTATTTTTATTTAAACTAATAAAATTATACTTAAATACTATACTATAGTATAGTATCAATTATATTTTTATATATCTTCTATCTTATATTAATTGTATCATCTTATTTTTACCAACTCCATAATTTCTTCTATCATGACAATTATATTACGTTGAATGGCCATTAGAGTCAAAACCAAATAATTAAATCATTTCTTAGATATGATTTTAATATACTGGTAGTGTACATAATACTTGTAATAAACTATACAAATTAGGAAATATTTCATAAATGCATTATTTTATTGCATCGAGTTCAGTTTTAGGAATATTTTCAATTCTTGAAAGTTTAGTTTTCTATAACTGCAGTTCTACTCTAATAGTTGAAACTTGAGTTACGAGATACAATTTTACTAGCTTATTAAAACATTTTCAAATAAAAATTGACAACCTAGAATATGTGCCAAACATTTATTTTTAATCTAAATTATATTTGTTTTGATAAACTAGTTTATTAATTGAAACAAACCTTTAAATCTACTATTATGAGCTAAAACTTTGAACACTTTTCAAATATCCAGCCATATTACTAGGTCTATAGTAACATTGATCTACCATATTATTACAGTCGATTCCACTACTTTTTAAACCTTAAATTCAACAAAAGTTCACATCAATTGATTATTTAATAATTGATTATTATTTAAACGACTATTATTATTAAGAAAAACTGAAGCTACAGTTCCTCCTGCAAAACTTTAAATTTCAATAAATTTAAAAAAAAGTTTAGTACATACTTATGTTTTCACCAGACCCTGTTAAATATCTAACACATAAAAACAGTTGTTATTTTGTAGAAACATCAGTTGTTTCAAAAAATAATACAGAAAATATCCTAATTCATTAACTGATTCATGATTCTATTATTTCACTTTGAGATCTATTACTAAAATATTTATTTTTTGAGTCGTTCTCTAAAAATTTTTTATTTAATCTAAATATTTAGTTTTTTACTTAAATATTGCACGGAAATTTTTCACTGTTAGACTACCATTGGTCAAGTTATAATAATTATAACAAAATGACTTCTTTCCTATGTATACTATTTAATGGATAAAAATTTTTATTTAACTATAAATAGGTGTAAGACATTAATCATATTGCACACTTTATTATTTATTACTCAAAAATCTTTACTTAAATCAAGATTTTAAAATTAAATTAAACATTTTAGATATTAAATTAAATAAATTAACATTTTTTTAACTAAATAATATTTATTTAATGTCAGACGAACTTGGTTGTGTTAAACCATACTATCCAGACAATGAATCATTAATATCTCAAGAATGGATACAATCAAATGTTTTGGATGATATTATTAATTATTTGATTATATCTAACGAAAAAGAAAATTCTGTCGAATACATTCCATCAGGCATATATTCATTTTTTTTGATTAAAGACTATTCAATTTTAAAAAATATTTTTTCAATATCTGATATTCTAAAAAAAGATATGATAATAATAAGCATAAATACAGATCTTTTGAAGGGCTGTCATTGGATTTTAGGAATCATTCATATTAAACAGAAAAAGATAATTATTCTAGATTCATTTCTTATTATGAAATCCGACTTAACAATACATTTTAGTACTTTATTAAGAATGTTGTTTTTATTTTACACTATCTCAAGCTATTGCAATGGAACAGATTTTATGTTAAATATTAATGAATGGGAATTAGTTAAAGCTTCTAACGCATTACAACAAAAAAATAATTACGATTGCGGATTATTTGTTTGCTTACATGCATTAAGTTTCTTAACTGATCAAAATTTCGAACATATTTCATCTGAATTCGATAGACATTGGTTGTTGGAACAATTTAATAATTATACTGAATTAAAAAAAAATAAAAGTTTAACTACGATTGAAAAAAATAATTTAACCGATGAAGAAATAACATTAATTGAAAAAAGATACCTGGAAGAAATTAAAGTAATGAACAATGAATTCTCTTTTCAAATATATGCAGTTCATGTTGCCAATCTAAAATAAAATATAAATTTGTGATTATTATACCTATGTAGACCATTTTAAGAATAATTTGTGTTAGCAATAGAATTATAATTATCATTATTAACAGCACAAACATTAAACTCCATTTTTATGCTATCATTGATCTTAAACTGAAATATCTTGAAGTTTAGGTGCATTTATCATTAAGTCGCATTATCTTTGAGAAATTATTTTTAATAATACTAATTTTATAAATGATATAAAGAATATATAGTTTAACTAATGGTTAATTTTAAAATGTCAATATTACACAATAAAATATCTGTTGATTTTATTAATGTATTAAATAAATGTTAATTCACGATACTTAGATCGCATTGATATTTCTAGTTCACTATTATAACCATTTCGGTCATAATAGTGACGTAACATATCTGTTTCTTCAGTACTTAGATTAAGCTTGAACGTTGTTGTATAAAAACAATGTTCGAGTTGGATATCATTAGGAAAATTATGAATTAAATAACGCAGTCCTACAGCTAATNTATGAATTAAATAACGTAGTCCTACAGCTAATGGGTGAAACTTATAAAAATCTGGTAAGACACTTATGTCCCGTAAGAGTTCTTCATCAGGAATTTGTCCTCGTCGAAGGTAGTAATATCTTGCGCATATATTTGCATCAGAAATTGTATTATTTATGATGCCATCACGTAATTGGTTAATTTCTATAGGGCTGAATTCTCGCATAGATAAATTAGAATTTTGAAGTTTAATTTCCTCGAATCGTTTTATTAGTATATCATCAGGTCGTTCTATCATTTCAACTAAAACATAGAAAATTTTATACAAAAAATAATTTATATTAAAAAATACATTAAATTAGTATTAAGTTTTAATTTTGAGTTTGAGTTTAACCTGAATGATACTTGAGAACAATAATAGTAATATAGTTTATTTTATTATTTTATTTATTATAACATATAAAAAGAAAGCTCTTGTGTAAAAGTTACCTAATTTGGTCTAGCCCCTAAATCTGACTACTTCTATGTTAACCATTAAATATGAGTTAAAATACGATCAATTTTGTATAAATCTATGTAATAATAAGTTTGAATCAATAAAATGTTTTCCTAACCATTATCATATGTATTCAATATCAAATTTTATAAAAATCATCATTTTTTAAAATTTTGTGGGCAAACCCCCCAATATAGCAACCTCATATAGAGCAATTAGTCTGCTCCCAGTGCTTGGTAAGCTATTTGAGAAAATCATTTTGAAAAGATTAAGACCAATCTTAAAATCTCATAAAGTAATACCCAACGCTCAATTCGGGTTCCGTTCAAAACATTCCACTATACAACAAATACACAGGCTAGTCGATATAATATCATCATCCTTTGAAAATAAAGAATATTGTCCGGGAGTCTTTCTCGATGTAGCTCAGGCCTTTGATAGGATTTGGCATCCTGGCCTACTCTATAAAATTAAATCATTACTCCCTGCTCCCCTATACCTTCTTATTTGCTCGTGTCTAGAAAACAGAACCTTTAAAGTTAATAATAGTAATTCTTATTCCTCTCTTTTTCCCATCCTAGCAGGAGTTCCACAAGGTAGTGATCTTTCCCCAGATTTATACAATATTTTCACTTCAGACATCCACCATGATGCCACAGCCATTTTATCTTCCAATAAAGACCCAATCGCAGCTTATAATGCTCTTCAACTCCACCTCGACTTTATAGATAAATGGTCCACAAATTGGAAAATTAAAATCAATGCAGACAAATCAGTTAATGTTCCTTTCACTCTCAATAAAAAAAATATGCCTGTTCTCTCCTTCCAAGGAGTTCCTATCCCTTCTTCGACTCAAGTCAAATATCTTGGTATTNGACTCAAGTCAAATATCTTTGTATTACACTTGATAAAAGATTAACCTGGGGTCCTCATCTCAAATCCAAAAGAAAGCTATTAAACATTAGATTCCACTTATTACGTCCTGTATTAAAATCAAAACTTCCTGTATATAACAAAATAATCATTTATAAGTAAATGTTAAGACCAATTTGGTCTTACGGAGCCCAAATATGGGGTTGTGCCAAAACATCGCAGTTTAAAACAATTGAAGCCTTCCAAGCAATTTCCCTTCGTACAATCACGTCCGCTCCTTGGTATGTCTCCAATCTTACCCTACATAAAGATTTAAACATTGAACCAGTCGATATTTTAATTAAATTATACTACAAAAAGTTTCATTCCAAATTACTTCTACATCCAAATCCCTTAATTGCTAACCAACATACAGTTACAATTCCGGACAATCCTCCTCGCCGTCTAAAAAGACGCTGGTGCCTTGACCTTTTAAATTAATATTGTAAAGGCTAAATAACCAATTCAAGACAAAAGCATCCCATCACTGAATAGCTTCTCTTTTTCCCGTTTTTAAGTCAAATGTGTTATATTCTATTGTTCACCTATTTGCTTATTGTATCTTTCTTATGTACAGATTGTAAATTTTATTATTTTATAAATAAATAAAAAAAAAAAAAAAATTTTATAATATTAAAAAAAATTTAATTTGATTTATAAAAATCAAAGCAATTACAATTTATGTTGCAGTAACAGCTGAAAATTGTTTACAATACTTATTGTATATTTCTGTCAAAAAATATTATCATGAGTAGTATCACTTTTTACCATTTAAATTAAAAATCCGCTAAACTAGTTATTTATAGCTGGAAAATAATGAAATTATTGGAATTGAATGAAATATGCAAATATCATTAGAAATAAAAAATATGATTTTACGATCATAGGATTGAGTCCCTTATAATTGCTCTATTTCTCTAGAAGAATTATTGTAAAACTATTTTAAAGCACGTACGTAGTCCTTCAAATATATTTATTGAATCTCTACATATTGGACAATTACTTTCTGATATTTTTAATTGATTAGCGCAGAAATTACCAAACCTGTGTTTACAAGGTTTTAATATCACTGTTTTAAACTCATTATTGCAAATTTTACACTCATCTGTAAACGAATAATAGAACATTGTTGTTTAATCAATGTTTTTTTGAGATAATATTATTTGAACATTTGTTGCTTAATGAGTTATTTTAAGTAACTAATTGGCATTAACAAGAGTTTATTTTACAGCTGCTTTAAATTCATTAGACATAATGGTTAAAATAATATGTATTTTTTTCAACGAGAAATTACATGATTATTTATGTCTAAAACGATTAAGCATACTTTTGATAAACTAGTAATAAACAGTTGAATTTCAACTTTTATTACTGATCAAACGTTTTAACAAAAAAAATTTCTCATTACTTGATAACTGTAGTAAAATTGTAATCTAAACTGTTTAATGCTGGAGTAATTTTAATAGGCTGTCTTTAAAACTAGTTAGAAATCGGCTGAAGATCATATAAGGTTTGCAAGCGGGCTTTTTATATATTGGCCTGTAACAACAACGTGGTTTGCCACTTGCATAACGTCTAGCTAGAGTAGCAAGGGTCGCCACCACCTAGGCGAGGTGTCACACCTATCAGATATGATTACCGGACCATAGGTGGAATTTAATTTTAAGTTAATTAAAAGTATAATCTAAGTTAATATGTCGTTATATGTATAAATTACTATAATGCCTCGTGGTTTATAGAACACAATTAAGACAATCAAAGTTGTATGTGGTTGATATGTAAAACATACCGTAGCCCGTGTCTAGATTAAGGAATAGGAATGAAATACACGCGAGTAATTAAGTTACTCGCGCAATAAAATAAATATTACAGTTGAAATTAATAAGGAAATTTAATTTAATTGTTAAAAAAAGAAAATTAAGTTAAACATGGACAAAAATGCGAATGCATCAAAAACCATGTCTACAAATAAAGGCAATACAAATAAAATAAAATATTTAAACAAATAATATTACAAACATCACGGACGGTATTGGAACACATCCGTTAATGTTAACAGGAAATTAATGAAGAACACCAGGAGCGGTCTGGACACTCGCTCCTTAGCGTTGGCTAGAAGAAAAGGGAAACACGTGCTCTCCACACATAAACAAAATTAAGTTAATTTACAATAAAATAAAATGAAATAAAATAATTAATAAAATATAGCTCATTACATAAATATAATATAAAAAAGAAAACGATACCCGGTCTCCGAAGAGACCCATCCGATGGTCTGGATGCTTCGCCGAAAAGACCTGGCCGTTCGCCGTTGGCGGCTCTACTCCATCATTGAAAAATATGTCAATAAAACAACAAATGTGTGCACCCTAGCACGGTCAATGACAGAAGAAAGAATAGAGAAGAGTCGACACCGATCTAACGGCAATTTCAAAACGATAACGGCCAGTCTTTTTGGAAGGGATCAATACGATAAACAATTCGATTTTAATTATACTTTTCTTTTATCGCCTTATCTAGCGGTCAGCGATAAAATAATGAGTGGTTGACACCTCTGTGTCAGAAAAAGGTTCTTTCGCGCGATAAAATAAATAAGTAGACATAACAAAAAATCATAAACGGTCCACCTTCGAATTTGTGACGTTACAGGTTATAAAACATAACAACCTAATAAGCTTCCTAAATTAATTATTTTTTTGATTAAGTTCTATATAATTTTACCCAAGGAATTATTTTTAATGAAAAGATCTAAAATAATTATGCATTTTAAGTTGCACGTACTTGGATTCCAAATAACATGAAATACACAGAATATTATTTTAATATTAAATATTAAAATAATATTCAACTTATCATTCTTTAAATNGGATTCCAAATAACATTAAATACACAGAATATTATTTTAATATTTAAAGAATGATAAGTTGATATACAGAGTGATTGACCAGTAAAAAATATTAATAAATAAAATAAAATTTAATGTAAAGTAATGGGTCGTTTGTGAATGATTTGTTAAAAATTAACGAATTATTTCGTTGGACGAGTTGATTCAAATACATAAAAGTATGATGATTCGTTCGTTCATAATTTCATATGAATTTTAATACAAGAAATTTCTTATTCGATCAAGGATATAAGGTCTGAAGAGTTAGTGAACGAGTTGTTTTTTGGTGTGATTCCTGATGATGATTCGTTCATTAATTATTTTGTTCCTAAGTTCAAGAGTTGTATTGTTAAACATTGTACTATTATCACAGATAAGATAAAGCTTTATAACTTTTGGACTCAATAGTGGACTCTTTTTACGGTTTAATTGGATATCTATAGATACATTTTAAAGTCGGAGGCATTATAAAATGATTTCATCTTTAACTTATAAAATGTATATTGTATTTTATTTAAATTTTTGATTTTATTGTCATTATTCTTCTTCCCTCATAAAAACAAAATTTATAATTTTCATGTCGATTAAAAACTGTTTATACTTTATAAATAATAATTATAAATGATCTATTTAAAAAATATATGTAAGGTTTTTGATATTCTCAATGAAAAATATATGAAGAAAAATATTGAATTCTTATTAATTTTTGAAAAAATGAGTCTTCTCCATCTTGTATATTAGAAAGTCATAAATGTTTGTCATAAATATAGAGTATCATGTTGTAAAACTTACATTGAACTTATTAAACTTATTTTCAACTAAGTATAGAAACATAATTAATTTTAAGAAATACTTATTATTTGATAAGTTTATTTAGCAAAAAATACCATAAAGCAATACTCTGTTAGTACTCAATAAATATTTTTTGTTCTGAACTTGTCAATTTTGGAATAAAACCTAAAATTTTGATGCTAATACATATCACTAAGTGTATATATAAATATACATTCA